GTTCTCCATCCAAACCACTGACTATTCTATCACCGTTTTTGGAGAGTTGCCTTTGTCCCACCAGATCCCCCAGTCATGGTTTAGACCCTTTTCATGCTTACACTATGGAATTCCCTGCCAAAATGTATGGCAGACACTTTGGTGTATTGTTTTTGGTGCCTACTAAACACTTTTTTTAGGCAAACAGGTACAGTGTTTTTCACTCTATAAGATGCACCAGACCACAAGATGCACCTAGTTTTTGGAGGAGGAAAACAAGAAAAAAAAATTCTGAATCCCAGAAGCCAGAACAGCAAGAGGGATTGCTGTGCAGCAAAAGCAGCGATTCCTCTTGCTGTTCTGGCTTCTGGGATAGCTACACAGCCTGCATTCACACCATAAGACGCCCACACATTTCCCCTTACTTTTTAGAAGGGAAAAAGTGAGTCTTATAGAGCAAAAAATACGGTAATTTCAAAAAAAAAATGTATTTTAACATGGTATTTTATTTTGTATATTTTTAAGTGGCTGATTTTACTCATATTTTGAAGAGAAACTCAACCTCTTTTTAACATCCGGTTTCATCAGTATTTTAGTGCATATTTCATGTTTTATGCAAACCATAAAGGTTTTGATGATTTATTTATCTATTACATAATATGTATCCATGGTTTGATTGTAAAAAACCAACCAACAAACCTCAGTTTACAAAAAGATAAAACAACAAAATCAAGACAATTTTGCAACCATACTTTAAAATATACAAAACTTAAAATACTAAAACAGATGATCCTGATCTCAACTTTCTAACATCTCCTTAAACATCATATGAATCCTGCTAAATAAACAACAAAAAAGAAGCCGTAGCTTTTGAAAATGTAAAGATAAAGAAGAATGCAAAACAAGGGGGCACTCAGCCAAAGTTGTTGAGGGGAAAACCCCACACAAGCAATAACACAGAAAGTTTCAACAAACTCAGAAGCTACTCACCATTTCTTCTCCTGGTCCTGTAACTGTAAATGATTAAGCAACAAAACTGGTAACATAGAAAGTTACTCACATACTCTTCAACCATTACTGTTTGTTAATTTTTTTAAAAAAACTGCTCAAACTGGCAACCATTCCTTTCTCTTGGCTAGTTACAAAGAATGTGCTTTGGAGGTGTGGATGGGGCCTCTAAGCTGTTGGTTAGTCTCCTAACCACAGATGGAATTAAAGCCTTCATAATTGGCCTGCCTTGTTAGGCAAGCCTGATCAATCACATGGTGTTTTTGCTTAGAAACACCTGAGAGGGACTTCTTTGCCATAGTTATACTTTCAAATTAGGATTGGCTGAAGACTGCAGAAACCTGATTGGCAGAAATGTTTGCAGAGTTTCTCTGAGTTGAAACAGAAGTATAAAATGTGTGTGGGACAAGAAAGAGTGTGTGGCTTTGAGATTTTGGATAAAAAGTTTCTCAAAATTGCTTGACAGGGCTAGGCCCCAACAGCACTATGGATTAGCCTATAGATTGAGTTTTGAGCTACTTCTCTCATCCTGAGGGAAGAAGGACAACATGTGTCTTTTGAAAGTCATAATGAAAGCTCATAATGTAGCTAGCTAATTCAGTAACTTCACCTTAGTTAATTCTTCAGGTTCAGGCCTCAGATCAGCATGCTTTAGAATTAGCCAGGCTAGGACTGGATTGTGGGACTGATTGCTGAGGTTAGTGATCACTGACTAATTCAGTGCAATATGCTGCTGTTGCTCTTAGTTAATATCCTTAAATATACACTCCAAACTGAAGCGGCCATTCCACACAGTGTACTTATATTATTGGATTATGTGGAAATAGAGTGGGCCCTCATCTTGATGAACACTAAAAATTTAAATCAAGAGCTCTTTTAATAATTAACTTGAGTGCTCATGCATCAGGAGCAATGAAAAAGTAGGAGAGGGGTTAGCAAAATTCAGTGGTAACTGCTTCTAGTCCATTAAGAAAGGAGCCAAATCAGTCCTCCATAATGCTTAATCTTGTTAAACTGCAGCAGCTAATGGAAGGCTTTTTATTAAAAGCCATATGTCTGTGGAATCTTAAGTGTAGGAGAAGATATGACAACAACACTCACATGGTGACATTTTCCTTAATATTCTCTAGGAGTCAAGAAAACCTTTCTTCTGACATTTCTTTGATAATGAACAATGGAGTTCTGAGTAGATGTATATCTATTCTTATCATGGATGTTAAAAAGTGCAACTCGGTCACATACATGCTTACACAGATGTAAGCCTCATGTGATCAACAACCCTTAAAACAGTATTCATAGGATTGCAAACCCTTTCTTTCTTGTAGACACTTAAATCATTACTACAGTATAGCAGTATGTTGCCAAATAGCAAAAGGAACTAAAACAAAGTAAGTCTCATTTGTAGCACCTGAAGCAATGAGGCAATGGAACACAGATGCTATGTCTCTGAGGTATCGTACTGCAGCTCACAATCTTATGCTACCATTTACACTGCCAAGTTAATAAAAACACAGTCTTTGGATATCTCCAGCCAACAGGGGCAGTGCCAGGTTTGAGAGGGCACTGAGGCCAGAAGTATTGCCAGGAGGACACACAAAAAGTGGGGGTTGAGGAGGGTCATTTGGGAATCATTTGAGAAATGTTAGTAAGTATGGATACCTCACCCCCGCCACACCTGCTGCAAAAAGTGGAAGAACTGTAGCTCAGTGGTAGAGCATCTGCTTTTCATGCAAAAAATCCCAGATTCAATTCTCAACATCTCTAGGTATTGAAATCCTGGAAAGCTGCAGGCAGCCATTGTAGATAATACTGAGCTAGATAGATCAATCAATGGTCTAACTCACTAGAAGGCAGCTTCCTAAAATCCCACTGAGGCCCTTCAAAAGATTGGGTAATCTTGCACTGCAGGTCTGCCAATGAGCAGATGAAGTTGTCACCAAAACAACAGCTGAGAAGTAAGGGTGACATAGTCATTTAAAGGCCCATCTCTCTCTCCCTCCCCACTTCCCCAATTGGTCCAGTGGCACAGCCAGTGCTCTTGACTACAGTGGTACCTTGGTTTACGAACTTCATCCGTTCCGGAAGTCCGTTCTTAAACCAAAGCGTTTTTAAACCAAGGCGCACTTTCCCATAGAAAGTAATGTAAAATGGATTAATCCGTTCCAGACTTTTAAAAACAACCTCTAAATGGTCAATTTAACATGAGTTTTATTATCTAACAAGACCATTGATCCATAAAATGAAAGTAATAATCAATGTACTGTACTATAAAATAAGTAAAGCAGTATTGTAGATGACAAAAATAAAAATTAAAAAAATTCTTAGCTGCACTGATGATAGTCAATGTTTGGATGGGGGGCTTTTATCCATTTCCGCAGTCACACAATCAATCAATCAATCAGTAGCTGAACTGGAATCCACACAGATGCCCCCCCCCACGCTGCTGCAGGAAATGCTCCCTAGAGCGCGCACTTCCCACAGCAGCATGGGGGGGGGGAGTTGCACACCCACCAACAAGATTGGAACATAAGTGTTAGTTTAATTTGTTGAATCATTTTATAAAGGTCAATGCGGGTGTTCATGGCTGAATATTTCTGGGTAGGGGCAAAATTTAAGCCTAAGTCCAGCACTTCTATCTCCCTAGGAGAGAATGCTCAGCTTGACAAATTTACCAGTTACCTGTTCTTCCCTTTGCCCCCAAGCTTGGGAAAATTTTGCCATGTTCTTTGTTGTTTAGGTTCAGATACAGATTTGAACGAACCTCTACTAGATACTGTATGCTACTTACACTATCCCCTAAATTAGTCAGGCTTGTTGCCCTCTGGGTGTTCCTAGTTCTTTTGCTGTTGAAGGATCTATTGCGATTTTCATTTTTGGGCCAGACATATATTCTATTATTTGCATAATCATCTCTATCCCTAATGAACTTTTTCCTTTTGTAAATTTTTAACTCCCTATTAAACACAGTCATAGACTCCCTCAAGGTTCTTTATCTCTTTATTATATGTTGCTTTATTGCTCCCTTTCTTTAGGTCTTTTTGGATTTTATCTGTCTCTGAGTCTATTCTATCAACTTCAGATTTTGTTTTTGAAATGATTAACTGCATTAGGTCAATCACACACCTGTTCAATATGCCCGTCCATTTCGTTATAAAATCCTCATCTCCTTTATAAAGGCTTGGCTGTTTAATAACCCTTAAACCCCTAGGAATCATGTTCGACCTTATGCATTCTGATAGGGTTGAGCATGCGAATATGCCCTAATTCTTTTCTGATTCAAATCATATAAATCCTCTATGTAGTTAACCATATCACTTCCTCCTCTGAAGGACAACGGAAGCATGGCACTCAAAACAGAAGTGCACCCCCGAACAGAGTACGTTCAGATACCCAAAAAAATATGCAACCCGGAACACTCATTTTCACATTTGAAGTGTTTGTAATCCAAAAAGTTTGTTAACTAGGCTGTTCGTAACCCCAGGTACCACTGCACGCCCTGGCTTGGCATGGGCAGAGACCTGCCCCCAGCTCATTCAGTCATGAGGAGAGTATTTCAGAGAAGAAACTCCTGGTGAATTTATCCTATAATATTATGAAGGGTACTTGCAAGTGCTATTTATTTTTATTATTATTATTATTCCTTAAATACAGAGTAAAAAAAATCATTTTATCTGGCATATGAATGTGATGAGCATTGCTAGTAGCCTTCATTATTTCAATCTATGCTAAACGTTTTCTCATTTTTCTCTGCCAACAACAGTTGAAAGAAGTACAGTAAAGGGAAGTGCACTCCTATCTTTCTCATCTATCTAGGATTTTGGTAGAAAATTTGTTTTGTTTCCCCTGCCAATAATAAAAATGTTGAGGTGGTATTCCCCCCCCTTTCCTATTGTCCAAACACACGCAAAATGACACATTTCAGTGACTCTAATTCAGATGGCTTGTGAAGCATAGCAATCTCTTGTGCCACATAAAGGATTTGCATAAAAATGAAAAACAGGCTGGAAAAATACCTTCAGTCCTGTTAGCATGTTGGTTATGTTCCTGCAGGGAAATCACTCAGTACACTTGGCTGATTCTTTTGTTTTACCTGGGTATGAAAGAAGTATGAGTGGTTCAGGTGTGAGTGGCTTTTAAAAAAACAAAAACAAAAAAACCAGGAAGAGAATCCAGAGTATGGGATAAGCAGACCTTTACACAGGGGAAACTTACAGAGAGCCCATTAATGCTGGATGGATATAATCTTCCCTTCAAACCACACTTTGATTTCCTTTTGCAGTTAAAGCGAAGCACCTTGTAAGAATTTCCCTTTTTTATGATTTGTATGGAGCAGGGAGATGACTGCTTGAATGTTTTGCTTATTGATCAGGCACAGAAAGACATCCAGCATGTATGTTTAATATTGTTTGAACTCAGGAGTATATAATATTTGTGAGGAGCTTAATCTTTTCAGCTTCTATGAATGAACAGAATATGAATTCTGCTATGAAATTGCGTTGCCAGTACTTGGTGGTAGAAAGAGGACATGTGGAGGGGAAAGTGATAGCCTTTGAAGAACACACGACTTTTGAAGTAGAGATAAAATGACCTAGTGAAGGAGGAAAAGGTTGAAACAAAAAAGAACGAGTGGGTGTTATAATGGGAAGAGAGTCATCTCAGTGGAGACTTTATCTGGAACACAGCTATCTGATTAAACAAAGTGAATTTTAGGAAGGCAAGATGTAATATTTGAAGAAGAAACTCTTTGTGTCTTTAGGTATCTAGTTTACTCCACAGTTTTTGCTCTCCCTATGAGCAAAATGTGCTTGTTGCACAGCAGGCCTCTATGTCATACCACAAATAGGTCTACTTGGGTACCATGTTGTGGGTCAACAAACATTCAAAGTTTTCTGAAGCATGTGGAACTTCTTGTGAGGTTCTTTGGATGACGCTTTTTGGCAGAAATCCTAGGTGGGGAGTCCAGTCCAATACAATATATTGGATCTTCATCTCTGGGGCAACTTCTGTGACCCTGGCTATACCAACATCCTAGGCCCAATATCAGTAGTTCTAAATGGGTGTGTGCCATGGGATGCAGTTTCAGGGCATGCAGAAAAGAAAAAACATGGATTTCCATAGTCTTCTCAGCTGATTCCCCAAACCTGGAGCTGACAGAAACCCCTCTTATTTCCTTCCCATTGTTCCCAATGATAGAGAAATAGGGAAAATAGCTGAAAACCAGAAAAGGGACATAGGAGCCCAGCAGGACAATGGGTAAGACAATTTGACCACTTTCTGAGTTCCCGCCACCACCTTAGGATTGCTCAGTTGTCGCATTATATTCGAACAATTGCAAAAGAGAAATCTGAACACAGAAAGAAGCAGACATCTTCTATTATTTTGTTTCTACAAGTGAGAGCACTTGGCAGCACACATTTAAAAGGGTGGTTAAACAAGTTCCCTGGAGACTTCTTGGGAAATGTTAATTTAATATGAGGTAAATTAGATACCTAAAGACATAAGTTTTTTCTTCAGACATAATGTTAATTCAAACCTAAAATGTCACAAAAGGCTGTCCTACTTGATAATGGTCTATATCCTGGTGACTAAGGTAGATGACAATAGTTAAATCCACAGTAATCCTGTCTGTGATTCTATTTATTACTTCCTTCTTTCAGAGAGAAATTTGATTCACTGCACATTTAAAGGCAAACGCAGTGAAATCACGCTTCCAAGATATTAAGTAAACTTGAATACGGTCATCCTTCAAAATTTGTAAATTTCTGAATTTTACAATGCCAAGTAATGTGTACAAAAATGCATAGACTAGCCTAAAGTGTACATATAAATGCTTATATTATTGGAAGCAGACAAAAATGCATTTCATTAATGAAAATACCTTAGCAAAAAAATGTGTAAATCAGGCAAAATTGCATAATAAAGATGTATCTTAGGAGGAATTTGCAATGAAATGCTGATAGATTTTTGCGAGGACTTAAAAATACCGCAAATTACTGTGGAAATGTAGAAAACTGGAAACTAGGGGGGAAATGTGAAACTGAGCAAAACCAAAATTTATAAATTTATACATCCCTACTTGACACATATTATATAACTGAATGTTTTATATATTCCAATTAGAGGAGCTTACTTTGGGCAATGAGTTTTCTCCTCAAACTCTCTCATGTAGTTATCCCTAATAATTAAACTCAGTACCTCTAGAAAGGGAAGAAAATGCACCCACAGCTTCAGTAAGTGTTCTCTGAGGTTCAGAAGAGTTTTTAAATCCCGCAGCTAGAAAGTGTTAACTTTCGAGCCTTACACTTTACACTTCTGCTGTGAAGAAACAGAGAGACACCAGAAGCTTCAGGCGAAATTGTTTTGGATGCTAGCTCATCAGGAAGCTTCTGTTCTGAAATTCTCCACAGGGCTGACAAGAGAACTCACACAACCAAATACAATAAATCAATAAGCTTTTAGAGCTTGTTTTAAATGGAAACTATTAACAGTTGAGAAAAACATATGGGTGGAAGTAACAGGGGGGGAAAGCAGGGAGCAAAAAATTAACAAATCGAGACACACAAATGCATGCAATACACCAAAGCAAATAAAAACATTTGACCTTATTTTTGGCAAAACATCAAATGATGGAGAAGGGGATCAAATGACAGGAAGAACAGAGAGGAACATATTGCATAAAATATAAGGGGGAAGTAGGTCACACACAAAAACCATAATTTTTAAAATCCATGAATGTTATCAGCATTATATGCATACATTCTGTATATTCTTGTGTAAACACTCATATTTGCTTTATAAAATAAGGGAGAAAACTGCTAGCACTGTTGCCATGGTTACCACACTCAGAAATAACAGAATGGCGTCAGTGTACGTTATTTTATACCTTACAACATTTGAAGTGCATGCTATGGACTATTTTTAATACTTTGTTTTCTCAGATACAGTACAGCTTGTGTTCCAGACAAACAGGAAAATCACAGGATTTGTGTTATCATTGCCTGCTTGAATGTGATCTGGAATGCTGGCTTTTCCAAAAGTATGCTGCTTGTTAGAAAATGTCATCTAAAAACAATGCTGAATAATCACCAAACCACTAAATAAAGCAAAATTCATTTGAAAATGACAGTGTTTTGTTTTGTTTTATTTTGTTTTGTTATTTAACTCAAGATTTCTCGTGTAATAGCAATTTATAGAATGATCCTACATATGTTTAGTCAGTAACAAGTTATACTGAGTTCAATGGGACTTGCTCCCAGGTCTATGTGTCTATGATTGCAATGTTAGTGTTCTTGTTCAATGTAGATTCTTCAAGATTACCAGTCACCAAATGAAATTATTTCCCCAGCATAACCTGCCAACATACTTACAGAAACTTCATGCCCAAAAGTTTCTTTCCATGTATAACACCCTGAAACCTGTGGAAGAAAGGTAAAAACCAACATGAAAAATGAAACAATATGGACAAACAAGTTACTAGATCTATCCCATCATATGATAATTGCTTTTCACTGTGATGTGGGATGCACTCTTCTTCAGCAGTTTTTGTGAAGCAGAGAAAAAAATGGTCCACTTGTTTTTCTATACCCTAGTCCCAATACCAGATCCACCCCCCAATGACTGTTACCTAAAAACCTCAGGAAATCCTAGGCATGCATCTTCCATGTCACATTTAGTTTGGTCCTTCTGTTAAATGTTCACCTGTTTGCAATTCATTATATCCTATGGTTTGTCAGTGACTTGTTCAGCTCTACTTAGTTATATTGACCTATGTTCCTTATCCATCCACACATAGATGCTGTCAGGGAACTGACATCAGAGACACGGGAGAAGGAGAGGGTCTCAGATTCTGCAGGTGAAGGTCCTAGCACAAGGGGGAGACTCAGCTTGGTGGAACCAAGGGGTTTACTGGAACCATTACCCACACCAAACAAACCCTGGGAGGTGGTGTCTATTGATTTTATGACGGATTTGCCCAAATCAAGGGGGAAAAACAGCAGTAATGGTAGTAGTCGACTTGCTAACCAAAATGTGTCATTTCATAGCCTGCTCACATGCGGTGACGGCAGAAGAAACGGCAGGGTTGTTTGTAGAGCACATTTTTAGGTTGCATGGCGCCCCCTTGAGGGTTCTCTCCGACCGCGGAAAACAATTTACTTCCCGGTTCTGGAGGAAGCTCATGAGTCTGCTGCAAGTCGAGGTGAGTTTCTCGACAGCGAGACACCCAGAAACCAATGGGCAAGCAGAAAGGGCAAACAGCATACTCCAGCAATACTTGCGCTGTTACGTAAGCGAGAGGCAGAATGATTGGGTAGAGAAACTAGCGTTAGCGGAATTTGCGTACAATAACGCTGAACATGTGTCCACGGGAATGAGTCCGTTTATGGCCAACTATGGGTGTCATCCCAGGGCATTTCTGGGGAGTGAGGAACAAAGCTGGAGTGTGCCCGCTGCTGAACAGTTTGTGGAAGAAATGGAAGCTATACACCAACAACTTAAGATGAACCTAGAGAGGGCCAAGGCGAATTACAAGAAGCAAGCAGATAAGCACCGCAGGGAAGGGGAAACCATACGGGTGGGGGATCGAGTGTGGCTATCCACTCAAGGGTTACCCTTTAAAGGAGGGTGCAAGAAGTTGCAGCCTAGACGGCTGGGGCCATTTGAAGTTACACAACAGATAAACCCCGTGGCATTCAAGCTCAGGTTGCCTGACAGTATGAAAATACATCCTGTGTTCCACAGATCCTTGCTCTCACCACACAGAGAGGGGCGGGAGTTCGTGGTGCGGGAAGTAGAAGTCATGCCACAACCACAGGTAGAAGAAAGGGAACACCAAAACTTGGCCGCAGAAATAGTAGATTCAAGGTGGAGAGGTCGGCAAGTGGAGTACTTGGTGGCGTGGGAAGGAGAGCCCTTGTCGGAAAACACGTGGGTGCCAGCGGGAGCAGTTGGTGACGAGCATATGGTGGAAGTGTTCCACCGCCGGTTCCCGGATAAGCCCAAGCCCTTAGAGAGATTCTGGGAGGAACAATTTGGCACCACAGATGACGAAGAGAGCTTCGAAGGGTTTTCAGAATCCGAGGAAGAATCGGACTGGGAGGGTCACCCCATGGGTGGGGACCTTGGCAGGTGGGAAGAGGTTTTCGCACCCACGGAGGAGGAGGACAGCTCCTTCCGGGGTTTTCCTGTCTCACCGACCAGAGAAGAGGAAGAGATAGAGCCCACAGGTCGAATGGGGAGTGAAGGGGGCCCTGGGGGGGGGAGGTGGATGTCAGGGAACTGACATCAGAGACACGGGAGAAGGAAAGGGTCTCAGATTCTGCAGGTGAAGGTCCTAGCACAAGGGGGAGACTCAGCTTGGTGGAAGGGGAAGGAAATACGCGTGACACCAAGAGTCCAGGAGAGCAATGGGAAGAGGAGGTGGAAGGGCTCTGGGATTCTTCCCTGGAAGTCAGTGAAGAGAGCCCAGGCACTCCGCTACCCACGCCCACTCTGCACAGGAGACTCCCGCGCAATGAGAGGCAGAGACGATTAGGTGTCAAACAGCTTTTATGCTGGCAGAGGTTTAAGAAACGCCCACAGACAGATTCTGCCAGTGACTGAGGCAGTCAAGTGGAGATGGGCTGTGCAGTCCGAAGGGTTTAACCAGTCAACCAAGCACCCAAACGGGGTCGGCTTACGCACGAGTAACTCCAAACCACTACAGATGCATAGGTACTTTCATACATGATTTCCCTTACCTTCTTTGTAAATGAATAATGAATTGATAAAACAACCCATAAGTGCTTTATATATAGAGCTGGTCTACACAAGAACACTACACAAACACTGGAGGTCATTTTTTTTACAATGCCGTATATTCGATTACAAACTTAAATTATTCTTTCCCCAAATAATCTCAAAACAAAGCAAAACTCTATTGCAAAGAAAAGCGGACTGGATGCAACTTAAATACGAATGCTTGAGTCTTGTAATTAATACATGTGGGTGTTTCAGGCTAGCTAAGAGATTCCGACAGAATAAAATGTGAACAGATGAAACCTTCCCACCGTTTTGTGTTTTGTTTTGGTGTTATAAAATGGCTTCTTTTGCTTTTAGAGGCTGTAAGGTACAGGAGGGGCAAGAGTTCACACAAAAGTACGTAGGGAGGAGTTATGCACAGGAGGTTTAAAAGTTTAAAATGGGATATGTTGCACAGAAGGGTCCAAAGTTCATTGTGGAAACCTGGCAATTAAAGCGAAATAAATTTTTAACCAAGACTCTCCTCTCCTCTTGCTCTAATTGGGTAAAAAATCAGAAGAGGGGGTGAAAAAATGTATATAATTCAAGATGCATGACAGGAAAGGGGCTGAAACACAGTAAAAGAGCTGGAATGGCACAGTTGAGACCCCATAGCAGGGAGGAGTAAGGCTGCAAAGGGACCCAGAAGTGGACCTGAAAATAGATAATATTAGCTTGGAGCAACTGAAAATACAACTAGATGAATATGTCTCTATTTATTTATTTTTAGGGGTATCTACTGAAACTGCAAAATTGGTTTATTTTCCCTAAAATCTATTTTTCTCAAAAAATTGTTCCACCTGTTACCTTACTAAAATTCTAAGTAAAAGCACAGTGTGTTTGGGGAAAAGTTAGCCAAGGGTCTTTTTAATCACCTTTGTGCCTATGTGCCATACTCCTCTGCCCAAATTCCAAAAAATTAAATGGCTTTTTAATGAAAGCAGCCAGGGGGACTGGAAGGTATTGACTTGGAGGAGCAAGAAGGAGAAGGTTGGTTTGGCTAGCTTGCTTGGCTCTGTTTTTTACTCAATAAAATTTAGTTTGTTTGTTTTTTAAAAGCATGTGGTTCTGCCTTAGAGGCATGCTGTTGCCAGCAGGCATGTTAAAGTAGTGTTCACTTTCATAATACATTTGTATTGTTTCACTGTCCCATTTTTTGTGGATTGTTTTACTGTACACCATTTGCGCAAGTTGTGTATAAATGCCTAAAACAAAAGAAAAGGGAAACCTTTCTTCTGCTTCTGTCCATTAGAAAAAGACAGAAACACCCTTTGTTAGGCTGTAATCCTATATACACTTAGCTGGGAGTAAGTTCAATTGAACTCAGTGATGCTTACTTCTAAATATGAAAGAAAAGGATTGCACATTACACACTTGTGGACAGAAGTGGTTTACCAAATTTGAATTTTAAAACGACACATTGTAATTTCCCCCCAAAATAAATAATGTTACCCTACTCAGAGCTACATTTTGCAAAGCTGCTTCACCCACAAACCCTTCCACTACATCATACATGTTTTTTCTCTCATACTCAACCTACAAAGAGCATTTGTTTTGCACAATTGGTTTTGTCAAGGACCTAACAGAGGGTGAGGTGGGGAGATAAGGATCCAAACTGCGAACAAACTGGACTGCTGCATATGTGCCAAATATAAAATGAATGGTCAATCAAGGATTAATCAATATTTTTTTCCCAGTGATAAAAAAATGGATGTGTCTAAACCGTGGCTTGTACCTCTAATTTCACTGCATAGAAATATTGGGACATTAACAATGGAGGCATTACAGGGGACTCAACAGAATCAGAGTTCCCTGGATAGAAAAGAATGTGTAAACTCAATGTTAGCTTTACCCTGAATGTTGTCCAAAAGCATTGCAGGAGACATGCATTGAATGACCCACATACCCTTCATTTTCCTGCACTGCGGCTTTATGCATGCCTATTACATACTGGATTCTGTCTCATGTGTATAAACAACAAAAACACCTTCCAGCTTAGAAAGAGCCCATCCTGCTGACCTACTTGCTATATAAAGGAGAGTTTGGTGCGCTGTATCCATGCATTTGAAATATGTCAGTTGAGGTAGGCATCAGATCTTCTCTCTATGAGAAGAAGACCACGGGATTTGTGTGCCTTTCTTCCCACAGTATATTCTATTCTTTCTAGGAAACGATGTGTTGATTTAAGCATCCACAGTGATTATTGCATTGCTCCTGCTGATGAAACAGGACCGATAAATTATTTGGAATCAAGTGGATGAAGGCACAATACTGGATATGCTTAGCATGACACAGAACAGAGAAAGTCTTTCCCTCGAGCTAAAAGTTATGTCACGGCAAAATTTCTAAGACAGCATCATTATGGTTTTCCTTTACTGTAACACACATCAAAGCTTACAAACTCATTTTAGGATGCATCTGGAGTCTGAACTAAGAAAAGAGTTGGTTCATTAGCCTGAAATATAACATAATAAAATGTAAATGCTGCCCTGTGCCCATGCTGCACTGTAAAATGTGGTTAATAGACCAGCACATCTGTGTGTCGCAACTGATGCCATGTTGTGCAACTTGGTCTATAATAGGGCAGTTATGTTTTCATGGAAAACAATGAGATTTGCAGCTTTCCTTGGTGATAATATGTTTT